GCCAGTGGACCGATAACTGGGCCTATGGTTGGCACCGTACTGAGCACTGATTTGAGCAAGGTCGTCAGCGAGGTGACTGTTTCGGGGAATGTGCTTTTCGGATTAATACCACCAGGGTCCAATAGTGGGTTGCCGTCCACGTGGATGATTAGGTACGCAGTGAGTAAGAGGCTAATCGCGCACATATTCATAATTGCATTCATTTTGATTTTTTAAAATTTAATTACAAAATATTTTTTGATTTTGATTTCTAAGGTATAAACTACATATGTTTTGGTTAAAATAATTAAAGTTTTTTTTGGTATGTATAGGTGTCTCAATTAATGTCAATAAGCTTAATTAAATATAATTTCGTTTCAATTATCATTTGAATGCAATAATGTTGATATATTTTATTAATAACTTTAGTATAAGTGTTACAATTGGTAGTTTCAGATTGATACTTTATAATTAATTAGTCACTTATTACATAATAGGTAATAGTTCACATATTACATAAATGTTTGTCTGTTGTATTATTTAATATTTTCAAGCAAGATATGTCAAATAATTAGTTCCCATTATTGCAGCATTGTGGCAGGCATATATGAGTAGGTACTCTTTCCGGGCATCTACAGCATCCAGCTAACAAATAATATATAATGTAATTGATTTTTAATTAACAAAAATAAAATAAGATACATACATGTTTGACCAAATGCCCATGATACATTAATTAAGCATACAATTAAAACAATGTAATAGAATTCGTTTAATAATTTCCACATTTTGTATAATGATCGTAACGTTATTTTATCTAGTTAATTAAACATTCAGTTTAAACTACTAGTATGAATGAAATATATTTTATGAATAACTATTTTTATATCATATAAAATGATGTGTAATGAAAATGTCCCAATAATGTCATAAATAAATAATTGATTTAATGTTGTATTAATTTATTAGCTTGCTTACTTGTAATTAATTATAACAATTAATTAACTTGTTTGGTTAATAAATTATACCTCTACTGTATTATGACTCACACTATATTATATTTAATTTTTTAAATGTCCTTGTGGTACTGAATATAAAAAAATTTTGAAAATATTTTGAATTTTATAAGAATTTTTATAATTACATAAGTATTTTATTTTTAACTTTAAAAATATGTACTTTTACTTAAATAATTTAATTATACTATTATACTATTTAATTATTATATTAATAATTTACTTATGTAATTTAATTATATTAAAGGTTTAATTACCAGAACATGATAATTATATTTAGTTATTACAATTAAAACTAGTAAATAATTTTTAAATAAGACTGC